ATATATCTCTTTCTCTCTTTCCTGCTTGTCCTTTCCTGGAGGACCCGTGAAGAAGATCCTCGCGGAAGGATGCGTTTGCGCACAACGAGAAGACTTTTCGCTGGCTGGATCCTCGATATATCCACGGTGGTTAGCGAAACTCGGGATTGTTCGGTGGTGGCTCATCCGACGTGGACCGATTGGACGCACCCCGGCATCCTCGTCGCTCTGACTAGCAACAGGTAGGACGGTTCACCGCGCGGTGACCGCGACATCGCTCCGAAGACTATCGCCGCGAACGAATCAGTGACCGAAGAACGCCTTCACCGGATAATCTGATCGAATAAACGATCTTCACGAGAAAGCTACAGTGTTTGTGAAGGTAGTGAACCGGGTGTTGAAGTCGGTTCGCGGGAAATAGCAGTCCGCGGCGAGGGTAAAGTGAAGACGCGGTACCTTCTTTTGCTAGATCAGTGATAGCGAGTCACGGTCACGATGGACATCCAAGAGTTCCGTGTGCGCGGCAAGGAGATGGTGGAGTACATTTGCGAATTCATGAGCAACATCCACAACCGAAGAGTAACACCGGATGTTGGCCCGGGGTATTTAAGGCCACTTCTGCCCATGGAAGCGCCGCAACAACCGGAGCCTTGGGAGGATATTATGAAGGATATCGAGTCGAAGATCATGCCTGGGGTAATTTGTCTTGTACCGGTATAAGAAACAGACTGGGCGGGTTAGAACTCGAAGAATTCTTGTAGATCACCCACTGGCAGCATCCGAGGTTTCACGCCTATTTCCCGGCCGGGAACTCCTTTCCGTCTATTCTCGGCGATATGTTGTCCGACGCGCTTGGTTGCATCGGATTCTCATGGGTAAGCCAATCCGAGTCTACTCGTTAGCTGCCGAACCGCAAATTTAATATTCCGGGCAGAATGCAGGGGTCCTCGCGTCCCCTGCGTCCGACTTTGATGGATCGATTGGTAATTATTTGCTCGATCAACGCCGGATCACGACCTTTCGTTTGTTCTAGGCGGCCAGTCCAGCCTGCACAGAGCTAGAGACGATAGTCTGCGATTGGTTCGGTAATGAAACACGTTCCCTTCATTTCTGTCTTATCTCGCGCGAGAGTTTGCTAAGCGTAATGAAAATATTTTGCGAAATTCCATCACAGGCAAGGCGATCGGCCTACCGACGGACTTCTTGTACTTTAGCCCAGGTAGCAAGGGAGGAGGCGTGATACAGGTATCATTTCAAGCCCTTGCAAGGTATCCTTCGTACGAGAAAAATAATACAATTTGTTTCTCGTTGATTGTAAGGGATCAGCATCCGAGTGCATCTTGGTGTGCATGCTGGCGGCAAGGGCGCAGGCGATCGCAAGGCTCAAGGAGTCGCCGGCTCACTCGCACCTGGACGAGACCGCTCTTCTGGGGAAGCTGATGGCATATTGTAGCCGCGAGAGTCATAGTTGTGTCGAGAAAGACGCGATGATTTGCTTCGTGAAGCTTAGAATCCTGGAACCTGACGAGAAGAGTGTGCTTCGAGGCGAAACTCTGCGTCAGGTCCGTTCGCTTCTCGTTCTTTAAAGGGTTAATAGAGCAGCTGAGCCTTCGTCGTAGTTCTCTCCGATAATTCTCATCATTCTATTCCGTTGTTTTAATAGGCAATCGAGGCGGACGCCGCCGAGGGGTACATCCCCTTCTTCGTCTCCACCACCCTTGGTACCACCGCTTGCTGCTCCTTCGACAATCTCAAGGAGATCGGTCCAATTTGTAAAAAATATCCCGGCGTGAGATGATTACTTCTTAATTTCACCAATAACGTTGTTTGCCGTCAGATGGGTTCAGACCTTCATTTCGCAGGTGTGGCTGCATGTGGACGCGGCGTACGCGGGGAACGCTTTCATCTGTCCAGAGCTGAAATACTTGATGGCTGGGGTCGAGTACGCGGACTCGTTGAACACGAACACCAACAAGTTTCTGTTGACGAATTTTGATTGCTCTTGCCTATGGGTGCGGGACAGGTTCAAGCTGACCAGCGCGCTCGTCGTCGATCCGCTTTATCTTCAGCACACCCACGCGGATACAGCGATTGATTATAGGTAACATCAATTGTCCGCTATCCCTTATTTCCTTCCAGACTGCTTATATCTATGTAGATGATGTTCTTTGTCCCTTCATCTTGATGTTGGAGCTTTGTACATTTATAGACACTGGAGCATACCTCTGAGCCGACGATTCCGTTCGCTGAAGCTCTGGTTTGTCTTAAGGAATTACGGAATATCCGGTCTGCAAGCCTACATCCGAAACCATGTTCAATTAGCAAAAAGATTCGAGGCGCTGGTCCGAAAGGACGCCAGGTTTGAGGTTTGCAACGAAGTAGTGGTGAGTTATTTACCTTGCACAGTCTTTTCTAACGTTGTAAGGATACTTTGTTATAATACTCGCCAACATTGTGATGAATTTCAGCTGGGATTGGTCTGCTTCCGCGCGAAAGGCTCCGACAAGCTGAACCAGAAGCTCTTAAGTGCCATAAACGACTCGGGGAAGCTGCACATGGTGCCGGCGAGAGTGAACCAACGCTTTACAATTCGTTTTGCGCTCGCTGCGCCGAATGCCACCGCTTCTGACGTCGGTTCGTAATATCTTCTTCGCACGTACCTAATCTTTACGTGCTTAATGCTCAATTTCGTATTGTAGACATCGCCTGGAGCATCATCACTGATTACCTGGCTGAGCTGTTGGAATCGAAAGTGAGTAAAATACACAATATTCGCTCGATTTTTCCGGGTTTCTCAGGGTTACGAGAGCTTTGCGTTTCTTTTAAAATCGCAGGATGTCATGGATGAACTGGCTGACATCCGGGAGAAGAAGAGGAAAGCCACTCTGGAACAGAGAAGGTCCTTCTTCGTCCGAATGGTGTCCGATCCCGCGATTCAGCCGGGATTCACGAAGACTCCGAACAGGACTGGAGCGAAACTGGACACTCAGGCAACGATCGGTGGTATCGGCTCGAATCCTCATCCGACAACGTAAGCATCAATGATTTCATTCGCCTGAACATCCCGACGTGGACATTAACGACGATACTGTATGGTGTTCACAGACGTTCGTGGATATCGTGGCCTCTAGCGTATCTCATGCAGGCGAGGGACGCTGCCGATACCAGCGAACTATCGCTCAGGTACTGAACAACCTTCTTAAAGAATTCTTGAAGATGGAAGTTCGATTTCTCTCATTTATCACCTGGTTCCTTAAAACAAAAGCTACCTGTGGATTAAAGGAATACGACATTGTCTCCGCGGCAAGTTAAGAAGGAATAAAGTGAATCATTCATTTCAGATTCCGTCACCTAGACACAATGGTCCGCTTGAAGGCAGGCAGCACCGGAAGCCGTCGCGGCAGCAGCAACGGCTGCAGCCCAGAACCCTCGCCGTCCGGTTCACCTTCGCGCGGAAGATCGCCGAACGGAAGGGCGTAAATCGTTTCCCGATCCGCTTATCCGTTTACTAACGTTCTCTCCTGGTGCATCGACCAGACACGAAGCTCGAGATCCCGGCTGAACGGTGAACACCGCCGACGGAACCGTCGAGAATGCTCGAAAAGTCGATCGAAACCGTTCTTCAACAATGCCTCTACCCCGCGCACATCTCCCAAAATGGAGTCGAGCGTCCGTCAAGCGAAGCGTTCGACGGGAGGCTAACCGCAGGCTCTCCTGAATGCGCTCGATAAACGCGAGCGCGTCTTCTTTACTTGCTTATTGATCTGTTTTGTATAAATGCGCTCCGTTTGGATCGCGACGGAGTCCCCGCGTGCGCTACGATGATACGGCGCGTGGCCGGGAGCCGCGCAAACAATCGTGAATTTCAGGACCACGTTCCGATCGATCGATGGGTTCCTCTTTGACGATGGATCGGGTCGAAGAAAACAAAAGGAAAGCGAGGGGACGAGGAAAAACACGCGTCGCGTAGGGGATATCAAGAGAAAAAATGATCAGGAAGCATGTTGTTTCCGTCGCTAGCGATCGAAAACTATATTAGCGTCGTCTGCGGTGCATCTAGACGCTGTCCAGTCGTGATCTTTGCTTTCCCGAGGCTCGCGAAGATTGTTTTCCTCGCAAAGTTCTCGATTTATTTCGGTCGGTGTGCGCGAAAAACATTTTCCGTCCGGGGGAATTGTCACGACCGATCATATACGTGATCCCGCGGATGCGCGTCAGCCGATATTATGTCAAGCGAAACCACGTCAAGGAAGAACGCGGGGAATGTTGATTAATCGAGCTCGATGAATACCTGAGCCGCGAAACGATCTCCGGGAACTGACGGTGGAAAATCGATCTTCGGTGGGAAGTATTTAAGGAGGACGTCGATGCGAGGAGACACGATTGGGGAGATCTAATTCAACGTTACAACCCTCTACCGCACCATCCTCTTCAACTCCCTTCTCCATCCCCCGAATCAAGTGCTCAAGATAATTAGAAGACACTCCGCCCTAATGATTCTGTCGCTATCGGCAGGGTTCTCGATAATCTGAAACCTCCAACATGCTATGTGAATCAGAAAATTCAATAAAAATATTATCGTATCAAACTTACGGCGTTTCTTTCATCGACAACATCGATCAGCCCAAATTCCCTGACAATCCAACTTCCTTTTCGCTTACACGCACGAATTTCGAATACGGAGAGACGCTCGAGGTTTTCGTTGCTCGCCGAACAGGCAATCAAGCATTGGCCAACGGAGCAATAACATTGGAAACTGGGTTATTCTTTCATATCCGCGGCGCGCAATAAGCACAACAAAGTGATTCGGTTGAATTCATCCAGGTTGCACAAAACATTCTGAACCCTGAGTTTTAAAGGTACAAAGGTGACGAAATATCAACCCCAGACATTTCTCTGCTGTAACGAATTAAACGAAGTTTCATTACTATGCCACGTTCGATAGAGGGTAGGACACATTATCAGTACGCGCGTATGCGCGCGACAAAACCGCACAAAAGAAACTGTCGGCGGGAACTTACGGGGCGGCTTAATACAAGAGACAAGGGGTTCGGTGATGGGATTAATTAATTCGAGGCCCGAGCGATCGCAACACCCGGGACAGGCTCGATTGAGAATCCAATTCGAAAACTACGGTCGCGGGGAGATCATGCGTGAAGGTGGTGACGAGAGAAAATGGTGGTGATCACGCCCGGTTCCCACGTGTGTGTTACAAAGATTGACCGGTGACCTGTCACCGCTTCTCTACGGGGTGTTGTAAATGTAGGTGAAGAGTAAACGTCTATTTATAAACCCTGGGGCGGAGGGAGACGGAGGAGAGACGCGAGTTTACTCCCCGTGCATCATCGACAACAGGCCGGCCCATGCTCCGAACCCCCCTCTGGCAGCGCCGCCATTGATGCCGGCCACCCTTCTCGCGAATTTTCGTTCAGATTTTTGTCGAGATCGATCCGCGGTACACGCTGTACGAACCAATCGATTTTTTCCATGTTAAAATAGCCACCCAGATGGGGATCGATAGGGGAGAGCCCGGATAGCGTGAAGAATATAGGTTCCCCATGGAAGTGACCGATAACGCGAGCAAAGTTTAACGACGATGTTTCGAAATCGAATCGAAATTCGAAGGATAAGTTTGGAAGACTGTACTCCGTATGATCGGCAATATTCGATTGTCACTTTACAGGGAATAAAGATAAGAAAATGAGAAAGGGATTTTATATAAATAAATCGTTTGCGTTGAAGTTCCGAAGAAGAAAATGAAGAGATTACATGTGTGTGTGTGTAATCCGATGAGAATATAACTGAACCGCACGCATCACGCAGAATTAGGAACCGGGTAGGTGGAACCACCGCTTTCGATTAACGATTTCGTTCGAGAATAGCCGTCGAAGCGTGCCGTTCGTCGCGGGAAAGAATGAATTAGATAAGTGAAAAATGCTCGTGGTCGCCGAAGCTCCGCCTTAATTTTATCTGCGTAAGGCAGGGATGTACGAAGTGGAGGCGCGCAATAAAAGTGACCGGCGCTTTGGCAGGTGCTACCAGTCTCGGCTCCAACGCGGGACAAACCTGTTACGCGTTTGCTCTGAAGCTGACTCTCGCGACACCAAGTTGCACCGAGAATCGTGGGAGAACGTGCTCATTTTTCGGGTGTACACTATTGTCGAAAGTGGACCGGTTATTCTCTCCATGATAAAAAGAAGTGAGTGGAACAATTGAATCTTCTAGAGCTGATTCGAAGATTCCCGCTGAGAACGGAGGTTGAGATACGCGACGCTAACTTTCAGTGCGTCGAAGAGAGAAGCTGTGCGTTATCCATTCAAAACATAGATTTTATACGAATTCATTGAAAAGTGAAATGTACTCAATTTGATTTGACTTTGACTCTGACGCTACATGTAACGTTGCACAACCGCGTAAAATTCGTTTCGCAGCGATAAACTCGATCGGACAAGAGGATGATAGGACATTGAGCGTAAAACCGTTAATTCCTTGAAATTAATGAATCGATCACCGACGAATGTTAATCGGGAAAGCGTCTCTAGCAGCAGGTATCGTAAATTCCATGATAAAAATTCAGCCACCAGCGAATCTGCCGCGCGAAGGAATCAATCGTTTCGTCTCGAGCATGTTTCCTTACGCAATTGACGTTAACTAAATTCCACGTGTTGATAAAAACGCGATCACGTACAACGCTCGTCGAGAACGTGCTCAATCGGGTCGCAATTACGCGCATTAGTTTCCTCGAAATTCCATTCCAGCTGACCAGACTACCATGAACATCGACGAGTTTCAAGTGCGCGGAAAGCAGATGATAGAGTACATCTGCGAGTATCTGCGCACCCTGGAAGGCAAGAGGGTGACCGCGAACGTGGACCCCGGCTACCTGAGGCCTCTTCTGCCCAAAGAAGCGCCGGCGAAAGGGGAGTCGTGGGACGCCATAATGCGGGACGTCGAATGCAAGATAATGCCCGGGGTGAGTTGAAAGAGCCCGAGGCTCGATTATCGATTCCGACCTCTTTAGATGTTAATAATATTCGCGAACACGAAAAAATAGTAAAAAGTAAGGCGACCGTGAACGGTCACGCTCCTTCGTCCCGCAAAACTATTTTCCCGCCGTCCTCCTCTCCCCCGGCGTCCCCGGGGATGAACCGACCGAGCCTCGGGACACCCGCTATAGAGCCTCTAAAAACAAATCAATCGTTAAATCGGATCACACGTGAAACCATCCTCCTATCAAGAATCCAAGTTAAACCAGAACCTTTCGAACGCGTTTCAGATCACTCACTGGCAACATCCGCGGTTTCACGCGTACTTCCCAGCCGGAAACTCGTTCCCCTCGATCCTGGGCGACATGTTGTCCGACGCGATCGGCTGCATAGGCTTCTCCTGGGCGGCAAGCCCGGCCTGCACCGAGCTGGAGACAATTGTCCTCGACTGGTACGCAAAGGCGATCGACCTTCCCCGGGAGTTTCTGTCCGAGCACAAGGCATCTAAAGGCGGCGGAGTGATACAGGGCTCGGCTTCAGAGTGCATTCTGGTCACCATGTTAGCGGCGCGCACTCAAGCGATCAGAACCTTGAAGGAACAGGACCCGAACACCGAGGATTCAGCTTTTCTTCCGCGTCTGGTCGCCTACTGTTCCACGGAGGCGCATTCCTGCGTAGAAAAGGCAGCGATGATCAGCCTAGTGAAGCTCCGCGTGCTAGACCCAGACGAAAAGGGTTCGCTACGTGGCAAACGGCTTGAATCCGCGATCAGGGAGGACGTGGCGAACGGTTTGGTCCCGTTCTTCGTCTCCACCACACTCGGCACAACAGGATCCTGTGCGTTCGACAATCTGGTCGAGATCGGTCCGGTTTGCAAACTGTTCCCGAACATCTGGCTGCACGTGGACGGCGCCTACGCCGGGAACGCCTTTATCTGTCCAGAAATGAGGCCGCTGATGGCCGGGATCCAGCACGCGGACTCGTTCAACACGAACCCGAACAAATGGCTACTAGTCAATTTCGACTGTTCTTGCTTGTGGGTGCGGGACAGGGTGAAACTGACCTCGGCCCTCGTCGTCGATCCGCTCTACCTTCAACACGCCAGGTCTGGCGAGTCCATAGACTATCGTCATTGGGGGATACCGCTGAGCAGGCGTTTCAGGGCGCTGAAACTTTGGTTTGTCATGAGATCCTACGGGATCACTGGACTACAGAAGTACATAAGGAATCATATCAGACTCGCGAGACGCTTCGAGACGCTGATGAGGAAAGACAAGAGGTTCGAGATAACGAACGACGTGAGGGTGGGTCTGGTCTGCTTCCGGTTGAAGGAAAGCGACGAGATTAACCAAGAGCTATTGGCGAATATAAATGCTTCCGGTAGGATCCACATGATCCCGGCCCGGGTGATGGGCAAGTATATTCTGCGGTTCTGCGTGGTCAAGGAGAACGCAACCGATGAAGATGTCGATCACGCGGTGGACGTGATCGAGGAGCATGCAACCGAGGTGCTGCTCGCCCATTATGAGGGCACGGAGGACGAGTTCAGGGCTAAAGGACCTAAGAGTCCAGCTGCTCTGGACAAGAAGCTTGTGCGGAAGTTCAGCTTCACGAGGAGCGTGTCCAGGGACGTGTACAAACGATCCATATCGAAATCGAGCCTCCACGACGGCGCCACGCCGATCATGGTCGTCGAGGACAACTCGCAGGTCGACACCATCGAGGAAGACGTTTTCTGTAACAGCAGGTAGACCGCGCCTCAGCTCACGGTGCCCAAGAGGAGGGACCAGCTGTTTTCGCTGCCGTGAGCTGCTGCTGGACGATGATGATCGGTGTAATGTTGTTTCAGGTCGTGACGATCCCGATGACGATGATAGCCGGATGATTCGTGATTTACGTGATTCGTAAAACGAATCCAACCGTTACCGGCCGTGGGATATAGATATCGCTGCGGCTACGTGAATACTGTCGTTATTGTTGTTGTTGAATCAATTTTTGTTCGTCTGGGAGTGGCGCGTTCGATCGTTGTTGATCGGTGTCGATCGAAAGGAGATGCTGCGGATGTTTCAATGGCGGCAAGTTCGACGGTGTTCCTCGTTGACAGAGGATTTCGTGATTGATCGCGATGATTCTCTTCGGTGGACGTTTCTTTCGTCGAGATTATTGGTAAACCGTTCGAGAATTCGATTTGCGGACGATTTTGCGCAACGCAAGAGCGATCGAAATTTTATTTTCATATTTGTTCCCGTGATCGAGGTCGATAATCGCCGGTCACGGAGGCCGTAATCGTTTTGTAAGCGACCGATTGATTTCCTCGCGTGTCGATCGGATTGGGAAAGACGTAATCGTGCGTAGAGTAAGCAGTTTCGTTTGAGCCCGCGTTAACAATTCCGAGTATATTAATGCCGAACATGTAGTTGCGAAAGGATAAGACTTGCTGTCAAGTACATCGATTGATACTTAGGCTGTTTAATTGGGGGGACACTCGGTTGTTCGACGAACGAATTATGCATGAATGCATACACGTGCAGCGTGGCGTCCGACCAGACCGATGTAACTTGATACACGAATGACCTAAAATTCGCGGATCGAATTTTTGTCAATCGATGATAATCTTAGCTTTAGATTGAACACCGACGCGCGTACATCATTTTAAGTGTTTCACTCTCGGAAAAATCGAACAGAGTAAATCGTATTAGCATTGGATCGCGTATGGAACTTTGTCTGATCATGATACCCCCCCGCATAGATTGTAAACTGAGATAATCATTTCGTATGTAAATTTAGTGTAATAAAGATCCAAGTTCGTAAAGCAACTTTTTTTCATTTGATTTCATTTAGATCCATTCCGACAGTTATGGTGTGAATGTAGTAATTTGTAGAAGTGTGTATCATAGAAATTGGGTAGTAGAAAATGAAATTTCTTAACTAGTCGATATTAGTAAGGAGTTATACAATTTCCTGGAGGTAATGACAGCCTCGAGCCGATAATTACAGTTAGCCATCAATTTACCTGAAAATTATGTTTCATTAAAGAGACTCGTTAAAGTATGATTAAATCTTTCTTAATGCAGAAATGGAAAGAGGTATTCAATTAAAATACCCTTTTTAATCTTACAATATATAATACAATATTTGCGGTATGTTTTAACATACAAATTCTATATAAAAATATAAATTACAATTAGCTATTACATTTGTCCGCATTGAGATATTGTAACAGGAATTTTTGGCTTATTGTTTGGTCCGGTAGGAACGTTCTCCACTTTTCTCATAACGAGAAGTCCGTCTATTACTCTTCCAAAGACAACATGTTTGCCATCCAAAAAATTACATTTCGCACAGGTGATGAAAAACTGACAACCATTGGTGTCTTTGCCACTGTTTGCCATGGATAATAATCCAGGAGAGTCATGTTTTAATGTGAAGTTCTCATCAGGAAAGGTTCCACCTCCGTAGATACTTATTACTCCAGTTCCATCACCATTTACAAAGTCACCACCTTGAATCATGAAGTCTTTAATGACTCTGTGAAAAATGGCACCTTTGAAACCCAAAGGTACTCCGTCCTTTCTGTATTCGCCGGTGCAGAATTGCCGAAAATTTTCTGAGGTTTTTGGACAGACATCTTCGAACAGTTCAAAGATCATTCGACCGATTTCTGTTGTGCCCACGGACACATCAAAAAATACCACCGGGTTGTTTGGATTTCGAAGTTGTGCTTGAATTTGATTCCATGTAGGCATGTTTGCTCTCTTTCAGTAAAAATTTAATCAATTCCTCTTAATTCTCAGTCAGCACTTTTTGTTTCATAAAT